ACTTCTGTTAATTATTGTTGTAGTCAACAATTATATTTAATGTACATATTTTTTGTTTCTAGTTCGCTTCAAAGGTTTGAGTGTATAAAAACATACTAATATCACAGATATAAGGATTTAAAGTAACCGGATTAAAAATACTTAAACCTCAAGAAGTATATGGAAAATGTTTACTATATACTGAAATTTCTATTTACTTGAAGCAATTGCACTTTTTGCAACAAAACCATTTAGTGATTAGAATTCCTGCAATGAATTAATTCAGTTTATAATGCAAGATGTTAGAACGGATTAAATAAGTAATATCTTTTATTTTCAGGGATTAATTATAAATTCAATAGTATTAAATTTCATTATATTTTTACTCTAATCACTAAAATGTCTCGAACTCAGCACCATATTACTGAATTCAGTTGGTGCAATAAAAACTATGTATGTATATAGATATATTCCGAAGAAACAATTAAAACTTAATATATAACATATTTTAAAAAAATAGTTTTCATATAAGAAACAAGGAATTACAGAAATCCATTTTTAGTGTTCATATCATGAATAACACACATTGTAGATTACTTTTAAGACAGCGCAGACAATTCGAAATAAAGTTCAAAATTCAAAAGTTTGACATATTATATTAAATTCATATATTCACATATTACATTAAATGTTAAGCCACTTATACAGAAACTAAGTATTATACCAAATGAGAATTATAATATTTTATTACGAAAAATCACATGTACAAATGTGTTTAAGTATTGTATATTACATTAAATACCATACACTTATGTTGTGTCCTTTGAAGTATTATAAAGTTAAGATTTTTAAACTATCTTAACTCAGCCCACATGCATATTTGTTTAGGAAAAAAAAAAAAAACGCAATTTAAAATCAATTGCATACCACTTTTCGGCGTAAAATTCAAATCTATAAAAAAATTTCAGAAATTATATTAAATTCATATGTTCTCTATGTAGTTAAAGTTAAGGCGGTTATAAACAAAAACTATGTAGTATACCAAATGAGAATTGTAATTTTTTATTATGAAAAATTACATATGCGTATGTGCTTAAATTAAAAATTGTTTTAAAAATCATATACTCATGCTATATGCTTTCAAAAAATGTATAGTAAAAATTTTTTAAATTTTTTAATTTACAACACTGTTTGATTTGTAAAAGGGAAAGTTAATTAAAAACTATGCGTTAATTTTTATAGAGAAGATTTTGTACTTGGAAGAATGATTTCACAATACTTGATTGTTTCAGTATGTGTTTTTAAATGCTAAAAATTAAACTAAATCACACGTTTTTAAATATTTCTTTAATAGAATACTTGTGAGAAGCTAATTAAGTCCTATTAATAAATAGGAATGAAATATATTTTTAAAATAAGTACGTATATAATTTGTAATAAAATGCAAAAAAAAGGCGAACCAAAAAAAAAAGTTGTTTAACCTTTTTATAACGAAGACCTCTTCATAACAAAGATTTTTGTAGGCACCAACGACCTAGTTAAAGAGAGGTTTGACTGTAATTTCTTGTCAAAGACTAACTTGGGTCTCCCATATAAATGTCAAACTTCCATATACAGTCGAACTTCCATAACTAGAAGTAACATTTTGCAAAGAAAAAGCTTGACCTATGAAGATTTCGAGTTAAAGAGTTGTATGTAACGTGCTCTCTAAACCCTGTTGCACTATATTTAGTTTGAGTTATAGAACATTCAAGTTAAGGAAGTTTGACTCTATGTGTGGAATCATGTATAGAAATATACATAGAAATATATAAAGAATATATATATTACAATTTTCTGTGTTCTGTTTCATTTAATAAGGTTTAAGTGTGATTCAATTTACACGCAGTTTTTAAGATACTTATCAATGAATACCACTTGAATCATAAAACATATGAATATAAACATATACATTATATGTATATAATCCACATAAAAGAAATATCTATTTATTTTTCCAATAAATGTGTTTTGTGAACTCTAGATTTAATTAAAGTCTATAATAATTAATCAATAAATATAATAAAGTATTTGTACTTTGAGATGCAAAATATAATGTATATTTATTCTTACAACTATGAGTATTTCTTATGACCCTGAATTAAGAATAGATTAAGACCAGAATAAAACGTTAAAGTTAATTAGAAAACCATAAAACAAAGTGAACATTGAACAAAAGGCTAAGAATAATTACGAACACAAATTAGTATTAATAGAATGCAATTATTGTACAAATAGTAGATTGAATAACTTAAGATATTATTGTGACCAAAAGTTTTACTTCTCACATTTAGGCCTCATTATGATTCAACTCATAAAAGTCACAAATCATGCACGTTTCCAATTTTGGATTCACGATTTTCTTAATCATATTTTTTGGTCTGTCGAAGCCTTCAAGACGATAACCCAAGCAAGCTGCAGATTGAATTGCAATCAATAAATCTTGGAGTACAAAATCCGCAACTACTGAAAGGCATTGGTAGCGATAAAAGCAAACTAAAAAGTTAAAACAACTTCAATCAAAAATTATTATGCAAAAGGACACAACTAAGTGCTAACGTAATTCATTACTTCAGCTAGTTTCAGAGGTCAATAACCCTTCAATGTGTTTATTCAAATTGTTAGCTCAGAGGTTGTGTGCCCCATAGGCATTATCACAGTGACTTTTCTAATGTTGCAAAGATACCCGTTCATGCTAAACTCAATCACATTTTTTCAAAAACTTCGGGCACTGAGGCACTAGGTTGCATGCAACAGTTCGTGCAACTTCATTAGGAGTAATTCAGTTTGCCTTAAGTTTCGTAAAAAAAAATATTCATTTTTTTTAAATAAAACCATTATTAGCCAAAGTAAGTTATTAATAATATTATAATACTCTTCACACTATGGTTTCTTGCAGGTATATAAAGCTTATCAAGGTGTTTGTAACGCATACTACATTAGCATGATAAGATAAATGGATTAAGTGTTCTTCATTTTGGTGCCCATATACGTCTTCGTACCATGTTTTCATGTTAGTGTGTAAAGGTTTAAAAGAAACTATTCAGATATAAATTAAATAAATTTTATTAAATAAATTTGCACTTACTAAATAAGTGTTAATAAGCTTTAAAATATGTATCTATATATTATATATATTATGTTGAATCTATTTCAGCCAGTGCACTTGAGCACTTTTACTCTTTCTTAATTTGAGGTATCTTCAAAATCCCTCTTTACGCCTATACTGGATTATTGTTTATCACTTCATCAGACTACATAATAACTGACCTCATATCTGCAGACCTCACCGAGGAGCCTGTAACCATTCTGAGATTCGATAACGCGGTGTTTGTAAGTCTGTCAGTTTTCATAAATAATTTCAAGGTTCTATCCTTTATGTATTTTTTAATCGGAGCAATCTTGAGGTCCCTGAGGATGTCATTCGTCCTAATGTACCATGGTACCTTGAAAAGTCTTTTCAAAGCCTGGCTCATACATATGTATATATAATTTTGAATATATGTCAGAAATTGTATTAATAAAAAATAGATATAATAACTGATTTAATAATAATTTAGTAAAAAATAAGTATAATAACTGATTTATAAGTTGCTCTGTATCTAAGAGGACTCTAACTTCTGTCCGTGGTGCTGAAATTCAGTGGCACCAATTTGGCTGTATCTTAGAAAAACACAAAATTGATACGTAAATTTATGGAAATTTACTCGTTTCCTAAAAATTAAGAGTGCGTAGTGTACTAACGTCGTCTATGTCTAAATACTTATAAATACTTACAATAATAATAGGTATAGAAAAAAGAAATCCATTATTTTTGCATGAAATTGAAGATTTATTTACCATAGTTAGAATGATTCCATTCATGTCAAATATGAACCAATTTTTCGATTACTTATTGCCATTCTTAAGGTAATTCCATTATTTCTCTTTCATAGACAATGGATTTTTACAAGAGTCTTTTGAAACGAATTTTTCACTAGAAAAATAGTCCATTGTTCGCCATGGATAGGAAAAGATGGTAGTTACTTGGTGTCAGGTCTGGACTATAAGGTGGATGGATAAGAACTTCTCTATTGATGTGCGTGGCCTGACTTTGTCCTGTGGAACACAATAACACTCCATAATCCCAAAAGCTGACCGTTTCTGAGCGATTACTTTCTTCAGACGGTTCAATTGTTAACAGCACAGTTCCGAGTTATGAGTTTTGAGTTTATAGTGATCCTAATCCACTTTGCATCACCAGTTACAAACTAAAAATTTTTTGAGTATGATATCTCATCATTCTCATACCATATAGCATAATCCGATCGAACTTATACAAAGCGGGATACAGATAACTAAAACAATCTATTGGGAAAATAATGGATTTCCTTTTATTATACTTAATATTAAAAAATGTATATCGAAATGGCTACATTATTTAAATTTCAATCCAATATGGAAGAGTACCTCAATAGCTTGTTTAAAAAACAAATGTATGAAACTAAATATTTTAAGAAAGCTATACCAAGTGATATAGTAGAACTTATGCATTACAGTGTTGTGTCGCTTATTGGAATTGGAATATAAAGAAAAAATTTCAATTATTTTCTATACATTAAGACAACATTTCTGTTAGAAATAAAGTAGAGCACTTCATTTCTAGATGTAAATACCAAGAGTGAAAGGTCGCGTTTATGTATCGTATGAGAACAGCGTACAGTGGTACCAATTTATAAAAACCTTTGGCGGTATCTCTTAAGTAACATATGATTTTCAAATCTTAGGTTTTTGTACTTTTTTCAGAATTGATATTCATAAAAGTTTTATTAATCTTAAATAAGAACTCAAATATCAATTATATGAAATTATTTTAAACATTTTTTTAATGTAAGAAATTTTATTAATTATGTTAATTATAATTATTATTAAATAACTTAAGTTTTAAGTGACAATACTTTTTTTTTTTAATTTTTAGTTAAGTTAAATATCTATTGCTTTGAAACCCATATAATATTATTGGTATATTTTATAAATATCTTCAATAAATCAATTAAAGTTATTGAAACTAAAATGAATCAATGATGTATTTAGCGAATTTAATTATAAAAATGTGCTATTAGAATAAATATAAGACAAACAAAAATAATTATTGGTGAATTATGAATTTTTGGTACAGAATTATAAAAACCGCCGAAAACTTGTAAATTTGCGGTCTCAATGCTGCGTTTACAGTAGTCGCCATCATAGTTCCAGCCAACATAGTCTTGTGTACGCAGATTTTCCAAACGCAGCCACTCCTCTAATGGTGAAAAGTATTCTCGCAAAGCTCCGCCATCTAAACGACTTGTACCAATAGTTTCCTCCAGAACTTCTTGCCATGGCTGTGAAGCACCCTTAGCCATCATTTGCCTTTGAATGATGAATAGATTTAGATAGATTATTAAATAAAACTAAAATATTGTTAATGTGATTATTTACTTTAATAAGTTTCCAGCTGCTGGTTGACGATAAATATCACATTTATGTAAAGGTTTTCGTGGATCGTTGGGATTGTATTGACCAGAAGCAAGACACATACTACGATAGATTTGGAATTGTAGAACTGTTGAAACGAAGTATCTGTAAACGAAAGTAGAGTGATTAGTACATCATTCAAATGATTAAATATATATTTTCGTTTGTTTAAATTTGAATACTGGTCGACGATGGTAGTAGCATCAGATGCAGATTAAATACTAAATTTAGACAATAAACAATAAAAAATCCAAAAGCAAATCCAATAAAACCACAAATGACATTGAAACCTTTAATTTTGAATGCAAATAAATAATTAAAATACTTAAAAATCTCTTTAAAATAAACGTTAATTATAATTTATCTAATATAACACAATTCAATTGACATGCAAATGGTGTTGATTAGAGAAAAGAAACAGGAATTGCCAGAAATATAGGAATTTTTGTTGGCCTTTACGAAGTGATAATAAAATTGGAGTTGGAATTGGAACTGGAATTATAAGTTAAAATAATAACGACGGTATTGAAAATAGATTATTCAAAAAGAAAGGCAAAAATATTTATATTCTATAATTAAAAAGTAATTAAATCAATTTTATTAAGTAGTTAATTTATCAACAATTTGATAATTACATATAATATGCAATGACATTTTAAAAAATGGATTTAATAATATGTCTATAAAAATGTTTTTTGATATTGTATCTGTGTATTTATATGTGTGATTGATACTTTGATCAAATTTTTGTTTCATTACATTTTTTGAACATTGTCATTGTAATATACAATATCATTCAAATGTCTTTCACTAGGCAATGTCTTTCACTGCTGGGTGTTTTATGTGATTTTCAAGAACTTATCGACTTATAGCTATCAATGTCTCTAAGTTTGAAAATTGTTTGCATAAGTACGATCCTCTGCATAACCCCACCAAATAGTTATATGTTGAAAAATCGTATGATCTTGGTAGCCAGTTAGTCACTTGCTATCACAACAAATCCCAAACAGGATATTAAGTCAAACCATATATTTGCTACATCCATATTTTTAAGTTCACATCAAAACAGTCTGGGTTGGTATGAACAGTCTGTGTCAGACCTTCGTCATTGTAAAAAAGGTATGGACCCGTCACATCTCCATACCATGCTGAAATAAATTGATACGAAATGTTAACACCTAAGCGTTGTACAAACCATAATAAAAACATATTATAAAATGGTAAACCTTAAGTTAAATATGTTATACCTGAGATAACAATTCTGTTTGACACATGTTTTGGAAGCATATGTCCACATAATGGATAACCCTATATATGTACTTATGAGAAACTTCTGGATAGTTCAAGTTAAATGTAAACATCTTTTCAGCTTTGTTGTCGACTTTGACATCCGGTGATATCATAGCGTTTCAATAGACCCATATGTGTTGCAATAGGTGATTACTACTATACATACCTACCTACCTTGAATAGCTTTTCTGAAACTGTCTCAAAACAATACTTTGAAATAATAGCAAATAATAACAATTTTACCATGTAGAAATTATGTGGCGTCATTATTGTATAGAAAATAATTAATTCATAAAAAGTTTGAAATTTTAGTTATGTATTATGATTTGACAGCCAAATAGATTCTTGTAGTGTGTATACGGGTTCGTTAATGCCGCATAATTTATTAATATTTCATTTCCAGACTTAGTTGCAATAATGCTGCAACAGGAATATGAAGCCTCACACATTGAGTCGTCATAGGCTTAGTATATCTGCTGAGCGATAATTACTTTGGTATTCACACTACCATGGAATATATTTATATTATTTACCTAGAACTAAACACAGCCTTTAAAAGTGTCAAATAAGCATTATTGATTTAAACATGAAAGTATATAACATATAAATAGACATTTCACTACAGTCTGATCTATCGAAATACTATGAAACCGTAGAAAATTTTAGGTACAAAATATTTTAAGTCATCTCTTAAAAAACGATAGAATAAAAAATTTTTGGAAGTTACCTAAAAACACAAGCTTACTAGAGTCACTTAAGAATGGCTTGAGAATGGAAAAATACTGGATTGCTTCATTCTTTTTTGATGAATTTTCCTTTATGATTAATACACTTTTGCGTGCGTTCGAACCATTTGTTAAAGCATTTTTTCCAATCTCTTTCAGTCATCTCTAAAACATGCTTTTTAAATGTGACTACAGTTTCATTGTTGCTTCCGCCAACAAATATCGTTGTCCACCCAATTTATTATTGTTCTTGACGTTCGGGAACAAGAAAAAGTCATTAGCTGCGGTGAAGAAGTCAGGACTGTACGGCGGATGATCCACCAATTCGATCTTTACTGTTAGACGGGATGTGTAGATGTGTGAGCACTCGCATTGTCTTGATGCAGATAGAAAATGATCAGTCGGCGCTTGTTTGTTTTTCGTATTTTACTGAAGAATTCCGGTTGGCTGTTACAAATGGTTGTATACTCGTACCTTTCGGAATTGATCGTTTTAAGTTCCTGTAATGGTATCCGTATAGTTGTCACGTGACCAGTTTTCCTGAAAAAACATGGGACCATATGTTACGAAGTGCTTCGAGCGCGAAAAACTTTTATTGGATTTGGTTTATCTTGAAACCAAACAGATCCTTAAAGTCGACTGCTGTTTACGTTTCGACTCATACACCTATGTCCATGATTTGTCACCTGTAACAAAGACGTATATGAGACGTCTTTTGAAGCACCGCCATTTTACTTCAAGAGCATTTTTGTGCTCGATGCACCTTTTTGAGATTTTGTCTAATGATGGGGGATAAGGGATGATAGATCCAACGAGAATAAACTTTTTCTTTTTCACAGCTAAATGATCGTGCAATATCTTATATACTCGTTTGCTGGTGGAACTAACTCGTATGGTTCCCTCAATCTCACAGTATGTCGTATGACGATATGGCATTACTAGTGGTGTTGTCAAGTCTCAAAATACAAATAGTGACCTTACTATTTGTCAATGTATTAAACGACTTTTCAGAAAAGGTCTAGACAACGTGCCGAAATTTGATCGAATCATATTTTTTTCAAATTTCTATGTGTTTTGTTTTTATAAATCTCTTTCACGGACTCTATATATATACATATATATATATATATATATATATATATATTATATATATATATATATATATATATATATATTATTTCTGAAATACATTATTTTCAAATTTTCGCCGTTTTCTATATATTGAATGTTTAAAGAGTTTTTAGTCTTGGTAAATAGGACAGAAATATATATAAAAATAATAATATTAAAAATACGAAAATTCCGAAATAATGTATTTCAAAAACTGTGAAGCAAAGGCAAATGCATTCAATTCATCATCTTGTCATCAACGACTTCACATGCATTATACATACATAATGTTCACATCTAAAGTAGAGCAAATTTCTGTTTGACGGTCTCGAATTCTTGCCACTTTTTGTCAGTTATGCGATTTGTAAGACTTCACGTTTGCTGTCAGTTTGATACAAGACCGGCGGATCCATCTAATCAAAGCTTCGATGAAAACTCAGTAGACAATTAATCAAATTTTAATTTTAAATTTTGCTTGAAATTCCACTGCGAAGACAGCAGATGTTAAATGTTTTTATGCCGTTAAACAAAGTTAGGAATGAATATGAATTTATTTCGACTATAAATATTTTTAAGTTATTTAAAAAAAAAATGGTGATTAAGAAGAATAAATTTTGCTTAGAAAAGTATTTGACGAATAAAACAAATCTATACGACGAATACGATTGATCCAATGCTGTTGATGATTAAATTAAAATTCATAATTAACGGATTTGGAATTGAATAGTCAACTGGTGGCCATCTATAGTTCTTTCTACAATTAAATTAGGTAAGAAGAAGTCAAAATTTTATTTCTGATGTAGGCAACGACTACCATTAAGTAAAAATAGCAAATCAATTTTATTATATTATTCATTTCAAGGTTCTTTGGGGGCTTCTCTAGATGATGTTTGGTAGAGTCTGGGAATATAGTTTTATGATATAATTGTACATATTCGCTGATTGATGTGCTATATACAGTTTTTTGCGGAATCTATTCCGATTTTAAAGCTTAGTATGGACAGCTATTATAAGTTCAATTAGCCTTTATTTAACTGGCTTAGTCAAATGATATACGAATAGTGGACAATTCTCACACCATTGACGTCTTGCAGATAGTCATGACTTAACTATTGTTGGGTAAGTGTTGATATTTTATCAAAAATTATCTCAAATGATGCAATGTTCTCTGATGGAGGGGTTTCACAGTGGACTGTAACACAAGGTCATAATTAAAATGAAAACTTTATCAAAGTTTTAAAATATATGTGTGTCTTATATACATTTATTTTGAGATTTACGAAATGGAAAAAAACGTCAAAAAACGTTTTAAGTTTCAATTCATTTATAGGTGTTTAGATCAACTTATTATATATACCATATGCTTATGAAGCTTATGTGATGAATGTCTTCAAATTTTACTGTCTTTTAGAGAATATAATGTAGTATTGCTAATTACCTTATGTATAAAATCTCATATTAATTATCTCGTTATTATATCTTTGTATATACACGATATTTCGAGTTTAAATAACACAACAATTGCAACTTTTGCAGATGATATAGCTCTACTGCCCATGAAAGATACCGAAACAATTGCAACAAGGAACCATCAAACCGATCTCAACTACGTGGTAGAATGGGTTAATAATTGGAAAATAAAAATAAATTCCTTGCAAACTGTACATATTGTGTTCACATATTAGCAAACTAGAAATATACCTCTAGGCATTTAATGCGAGACTTCAGTTGTGTGAACATTTTAACTCAATTAAGTAGCTACTTGGACGAAGTTCACTGCAACACAAAAACTTCATCACTCTTTCAAGAGAAGATCTCGTACGACGACTTAAGAGAACCAAACCGTCTGATTTAGGTTAGGTTATACTGACGATCCCCGTATATATATGAAGAAATCATGTTTTGAAACCACCTAGAACCTTTGACGATGCATAAAATGCTATTTAGTGTCATGTCTTGTAATTGGTCATGGTCCTC